CCCCAAAACCCCAAAACCCCAAAACCCCAAAATACTTACAAAAAGGTGAGAAGAAATATATAATTAAAAGCCAAATTCAGAGGCAAAATGGAAGCATTGTTGAACGCAACGATCTGGGTATCCTGCTATTGCCCTAATACCTCTATCCTTCGCTGTTTTCTGGGATAACGACTTTGGACTCTTTTATATCACATTCTTTGGAGCTCTGATCATGCTAACAGTATGGCCAATAATCCAAGAAGCTATATTTATGGGTTTCATTATGGGAAGGAAAAAGGCTACCTGGCCAACGCCTAATTCTCAAGGTGAGAGATTAAAAGATGAAGAGCTCTTGCAAATTATTGAAGACCTTCTTGGTGAAAATCTTGGAACCAAACATCCAATAGTAAGCTTGAAATTAACAACTTTTAGGTGTATAGCCCAGGCTACAACATCACTGCATTTGGGTTAGAGAAACTACACCCATTTGATTCTCGAAAATATGGCAGAATTTATAATTTCCTGACAGAATAGAAAGTCCTCAGTAAAGAGGACAAACTCTTGGCACCTTCGATATGCTCAAGAACTTTCTTATACGAAACTTGAACATTTTGGCACCTCGCGTTGCTGAATTATAGTCTTTATATTGGAAAATGTGTTGAGCTACCAATATGTTTTCTACCTGCTTGGCTAGTACGATGGAGGACACTGAACCCAATGCTGAGAGCTACCTATGGTACAGTCTGTGCATCCTTCATGGCTCTTCAAAGAGGAGTGGCCATCAATTTGAGTGGAGGATACCACCATGCCTGTGGAAACCAAGGAGGTGGCTTCTGTATTTACCCAGATATCAAAATAGCAATTAACCTTCTGAGGAAATTCTGTGGAATCAAGAAGGTCACGATCATCGATCTAGATGCTCATAAGGAAACGGTCATGAGAGGGACTTCTTAAACGATGCTGATATCTACATCATTGATTGTTTCAGACCAAATATCTATCCAGGAGATATGGATGCAAGGAAAGCTATCGACAAAGAACTTCATGTCTATCCTCAAGATGACGATAGTTAATACCTGAGTAAAATTAGTTCAATTCCTAGCTGAATACAGCAGTTCAAACCTGACTTCATTATGTATAATGCAGGTACTGACATTATGGCAGGTGACCCTCTCAGTGGGCTAAATATCAGTGAAGATGGGGTTATCCAAAGGGACGAATTAGTTATCAGGAGTGCTTCTGACAATAATGTCCCTCTCTGCATGGTGTTATCAGGAGGATATCAGAAATGAAATGCAGAGTGTATAGCAAAATCTATTCAAAACGTGTTCGAATTACTTAATTAATCTTAAGTTCAATGTAAAAAGATATTTAAGGGGTTTTGGGGTTTTGGGGTTTTGGGGTTTTGGGG